CATATATATGGAATTTAGAAAGATGGTAACGATAACCCTATATGCAAAACAGAAAAAGAGACTCAGATGTATAGAACAGACTTGTGGACTCTGGGAGAAGGCGAGGGTGGGATGTTTCAAGAGAACAGCATCGAAACATGTACATTATCTAGGGTGAAACAGATCACCAGCCCAGGTTGGATGCATGAGACAAGTGCTCGAGCCTGGTGCACTGGGAAGACCCAGAGGGATCGGGTGGAGAGGGAGGTGGGAGGGGGGATCGGGATGAGGAATACGTGTATATCCATGGCTAATTCATGTCAATGTATGACAAAAACCACTACAATATTGTAAAGTAGTTAGCCTCCAACTAATAATAATTAAAAAAAAAGTATGTTGTGGGAGTGGGTCTGGTAAGACCTTTCTTTGTTAATTCTAATCTTGTTAATTTAAGATGTATGTTGTGAGAGTGGGTCTCCTAAAGTATATCTTGATAAGACTAGTGAGTGGGGGCACTCTCCATCCCCCTTCTGATGTCTTTGTCAGATGCTTTGTCCGCCCCTGGTGGCTCAGACGGTAAAGTGTCTGCCTACAATGCGGGAGACCCTGGTTCGATCCCTGGGTCGGGAAGATCCCCTACAGAAGGAATGGCAACCCACTCCAGTATTCATGCCTGGAAAATCCCATGGACCAAAGAGCCTGGGGGGCTACAGTCCATGGGGTCGCAAACAGTCGGACACGACTGAGCGACTTCACTTTCACTTTTTCTTTTCACTTTTTCTTAGTTTAATAAAACTGCTACACAAAAGCTCTTGCGTGATCAAGACTTGTCCCTGGTCCCGAAGCTAAATCATCTTCGGGGATCACGAATCCGACATCATTCACCATAAGCTATCACTTCTGGCCCCCAAACTGTGAGGTAATTAATTTATTTTAAGATACTTATAGTAATTTGTCATGGTAGCCCAAGGAAACCAGTACAGTATTTTTCTGATATGATAAAATGTTTTCATAGTATCACCTTCAAGATTTACTACTATCTGTATGCTACTACATTCCTTTTACCAGTTCAGTCGTTTGCTAAGTACTTATTGTATACTAGGGCTGTGCTAATTCATGACAACCACTTACATCTTTTGGTACCTGGGGAGTAGCTATCTTATTGATGTTAAATAACTAGACCACATATAGCTCAATATAAAAAAAAGTAAATGACATGATTAAAAAAATGGGCAGAACTGAGTAGACGTTTTTTCCA